CCCCCCGGAAAAATGTTTCTCGACCTGTTAAAACACACAAAAATAAGGTGAAACTGCAACAGATGAAGTTATGGTCACAAATGAAAACCGGCGATAGAACAAATGCAACGCTACTCATTTCAACACTTTCAGAGTTGGATGAACAGTTTTGCGCGCTCACACTTCAGTGGCATCTGCTCGTTTGCGGAAAAGGGGAAGCAGAATCAAAATATTGTCCTCCTAATCGGCTTGCTGGAGAGATTTTTTTTTCCCCCTCTTGAGGCCTCAATGTGATTCATTTCAAAATGTTGACCAAAAATATTTCCAATTCACCTTGATGATGTCGACGTGAAAAAATGACCATCGCGTTGCTTTGTGATAGTACACTTGGCAAAATATCACTCCAGAGCAGTCTGCAGTTAGGGACAGGAAAAAAAAAAAACTCTTGCAGGGCAGCAATTTTGCAACGCTGTTCACGGGTGATGGAATCATGTGCTGACAAAAAAAAAAACTCACATCTGTCCAAGTTGTACTTCAAACTAAATAGAAAAAAAGGAGTACCATCTTTAGAAAATTTGGGAAACCCTGTCTCAGGTTACGCTGCAAATTCTCACTCCGAAGCTATCAGGTGCTGATCGCAATTTATAAACGTCCGGTGCATGTGCTTAAAAGAAGATAAGACAAATTGACTTGCATTTTATTGTCTGAGCTCACAAACTTCGTTGTGATGTCGTCACAGGATAGGAAGCTGTGTGCACACCCGTTCCTCGAGATCTACAGTAACGATGTGATCCACTTCATGGCTCCGTTGGCTCGGCAAGGAGATTTCTACGTTCCGGAAGCCCGTCTAGCGGAAAGGAGGCTTCCGGAACAAGAAGAATTGGACTCTGATTCGGAATTTTCAGGTATTTTCAATTGCACCTTGGCCTTAATGGACTTGAATGTGTTTTTGCACTGTATATTGTACAGTATATGTGCACATATATTCTTTTGTCCTCGGCAATACCTGATTAAATTATCTTAGTTTACTAAGTCGGGAAACTCTTGTTTGTTGCTGCATGACTGTATTATACTGCCTCCCCAGTGACCCAAGAAACATATACTAGAAGGAACACAGTGATTGGAACAGTTTAGTGGCATTTCCATTTATTTCAATGGGCAAATATGATTTGAGATTTGATTGCTGTAAGTGACAAGCTTGGTCACCAAATGAAATAAACCTGTATTCCAGGGTACGGCCGTATGTCCAATTTCAGTTTTCTTCATTCATGTTATCATTTCATAACTACATATAATGTTGGAAATGTTTTGAAACTTGCCACACAATGGCAGCCTGACCAAGTGGCATTATTTTACTCCATACAACACTGGAATCAAAATGGGAGTTAAGAAAATTCAGAGTGAGATTCTACCATCCCAATAATTTTTTTTAAAAAAAAAAATAAAAAAATAAAAAATTCAATTGAAATTCAAAATTAGAACATATTGAACTCTGCTTTTTACAGAATTGCAACTAGAACAAATGCAAAAATGTTTTTAAAAAAATCAATAAAAAAAAAAAAAATTCAATCGAAATTCAAAATTAGAACATATTGAACCCTGCTTTTTACAGAATTGCAACTAGAACAAATGCAACGCTACTCAATTTAACACTTAGAGGGACAGCGCTTACTACAGTGGACAGCTTATCATGTTATCAGGTTACAGGGTGCCTGAAAGGGTTAATTGACCCTGGTTTTTCCGATTGGTCAGTAGATCGTTACATTATAAAACCCACATGCCATTCGGCCGTGGTAGATGACCCTGACATTGTTTTTCCACGTCCGTTTTAATTTATGAGGAGCGCGCGGCACTGTGTTGTGATTTACACCTTTTCAGGTGTTAATGAAAAGAGCAAGACACAACAGCATCCGCTGAATGTGTCCTGCCACTCACCCAGGGGCTGACAGCAACAAGACGGATGCCATATGGAACTTTCACTGTAAAAGATGCGCAAGTGTTTTAACGCTATTCCACTTGACACTAATTTATCCTCATGAGACTTCAATGCTTCTGAGGGAGTGTTTACCACAGTTGCTGCTGTATGAAGCGCATCCTGTTATGCAATGTGTAAAAAGAAGCCCGTGTGATAGGAATGGCAGGATATTTTTTTTTCAGTTCAGTTCCATAAAATGAGGCCTGTGTTTGAATTCGACACAAGTGGAAGGTCGTACGATACTTCTGTGAACATCTGAATTTTTGGGTTTTTTTTTTGTTCAATATATGGCCACCTTGCCCAAGGATGTCACAAGAGAAAGGGCTTCACTTAGTGTTGGATTGGTCACTTACTGTACTGATCATTATGGAAGAACGCTTTGTGCTTAAATTAGAAAAGACAATTTCTACTGCGCTGCCGTCATAAACACAATTGTGGTTAATTGTCAAGTGGTGACAATTGGGTTATTTTTGACCCCACTGATTTTCACCCTCTGTGTTGTAGAAGGCAGCGAACGTTGCATTCTCGTCAGGGTTCGTTCAAGCTCGCAAATGTTTGCGAAACGGTCGCTACACGTTCGCCTGTAATTTTCACAAGAAAAAAAAAACACAAATACTATCAGCAAACATTTTCCTATCATTTGTGACCTTGAACGAAACCTGCCGAACTCTGACGTGAACACGTATTTTTCTACCTTCGCCAACCGTCGCAGTTGTTGGCCTCTCAGTGGGATAAGGGGCTTTAGAGTGCACAAATGGGCAAAAGAATGACATGGCAACAAACAAAATACAACCGAACTGAGAGATGCAAGTTCCAGATCTGTTAGACAGCATTTTAGTAATTCTCCTGTCACTTTGTGTTCCATGTCTGTTTGCACAAAAATTAATTCGGACTGTTTGCTGTATGAAAATTCATGAACATATGCAGATCTTCTGGGACACACATGCCACCTGAATTTTACTCAGCGTTCTTCTGTTCTTTTTGCGACCCAGGTTGAGGCACATTCGACTGAACGCCCCATATTGTATTTCAGTTTATTATTGCAATCGCTACTCCTCCAGTCAAATGTTTTGACAAAATATCTCATTCAATAGCATGGGAAATTGTATTCCAACTTTTGACTCATGGTGTATATGTCTCTCCGATGCAGTTGGGAGAAAAATGCCTACTGAATCAGTTTCCACACCAAAAATCTGAAGCACTCCTGCAGTTTATATTTCTGACCCAAATCCCATTTAGTGGTTTGCTTTTGGCATCGATACAGTGGCATACCATTGGTATAACTCATTCCTCTTCTTCACTGCAACATGCATGCTTTTTTTCCTTTTCATTTTGTTTTTGTCTTGCCTACATTCATCAAGGGAATACACTCTACATGTAAATTGATCAATTAAGATTGAATCAATCAAGAACGCTGAGCTACCTTTAATTGTATTTTTTAATGACACTTTGTATCCACGTATGTCGATTATTCAAAGGCTTATTTTAAGCTTTCAACGGCATATATTCTTGGCTATTCAACATTTGTTATATAGGGTTGAAAACATGCTAGTCACACTAGAATTGGTTATTACATTACCTGTGATCCATTTCTCTCTTTAGTTTGGTCCTAATGTTCTCTCTATCGCTCTAGCTAGCTAGCTAGATAGCGACAAATATACAATATTATATGCAATATTATAATTTAAAATACCCTTGTGTCACTATAGTTAACTACCAATATATGTTATCAATAATAGTTTATGCATTTTCAATGTATCGTTGACCTATTAATATCCCGGGAATAGTTCTTAACGGTACACTCATTTTACGAACCTTAAACCCATATTTTCCGACAACAGTGAACTATTCAGCATTAGTTCAAAATGAAAAAAAAATTAAGACACCTTGAGCCACGTGGCGAGAAGGGTAACCTTTCAGACACTCATTTAAACCTCTAAATTGCTAGAATGTAACTAAGCAGCAACCTGGCCCTCTTTATCTCAAACTTGAAGTGAGAGTTTTTCTAAAGTCAGTTAATGATCTGCGCTGTTTGCATGCTGATATTTGCTCGCTTTGCCCTTCTTGTTCCACGCGAAAGGTTAGTTCATACTGTGTGTTTATCTTCCTCATTTAGTTGGCCGCTAATGACAGACTTGTTGCTTATTTGGACATATTGATTTGAGAAAAGCGCACCCTGCCACACAAAAGGCCAAAAAGGGCAGCAGACTGGTACACCCAGGTGTAAAATTGATCCTATTTACCTGCAAAGGGCAAACTGGAAAAAAAACAGTGGCAATCGCAAGGTCATATATGTAATATAAACTTCCCAAGAGAAGAAGGCATTTAGTGGATGTAAAATGTCTTAGTGCAGAAAAAGTGCAAATTTTGACCTTCCTTGTTAAGCCAAGAGGCAATGCAAAATGTCACTGGGGCAGGGTTAATATAGCTCTGCAATGCATATTTTCGGTGGTGTAAAATGTAAAAGCAAGAGTATGAAAATAGTCATATTATTTTGGTGATCAACTTGTTTTGGAAAAAGTCATTTTACCAGGTGAATGTCATGTCAAAACTCCCACACACGTCTGAGGCGAGCAACCACAGTATCACTCGAGAGAGCTGCCATATATTCCCGTACTTGTATGATTAAATATTGGGCTTTTTTTTTCACAGTTTCAAATAATTGCTGAGTGTCTTAATAGCATCTCTGTGGCATGTTTTCATCAGAAGACCTTTTGTTGTAACTTATCAATTTTAACCTCCAATTGTTTTTCTCTCGAATAATTTTTCCATCTGCGGTTTCAAAGAAGTAACGGTGAAATATGACTCTGCTATATACAGCCAATTAACTGAACTAGCCAGTTCAGTTATGTTAATGACAAGGTGAAAGTGTCATCTAACCAGAAGTTCGAATGTCGGAATATTTACATCCGTAGTTACATAAATGCATTCTGTGCAATCACTGTTAAGGAAAATAATGGTGGAGTTGCAATGCAACTCAAATTGGAGCGAACAGATTTTGTCTGAACCTCTCGGATTATTTTGGAAGCCCTGCTTTCCTCGTGTTTGTTTATGGAAGTGCACCCGCCATCTGTCCCCATCTCCTCCTCTTGTTTTTGATGGCCGCTCTCTAGGTGCAGACTCAAACAGCGAATGCAGCTCAGGGACTGGGATTTTCCTGTCAGACAGCCGAGAGACGTCACTGGTGGCGTCCTCGACCCGGTCCGAGTCCATCCGGGACAGCGGGTACGCAAATCACATAGGGGGATCGTCCAGGGACCGCTCGCTCGTGGAGACGGACTGGGAACGGAATAACCAAGAACGGGAGCATTTTAAGAAAGGCTCGAGCCAGGTGAGCCTTGACCCCATCCCGCAGTTGTTGGGTGCTGTTGGTGGCGAGGAGTGAAGTTTGACCCGAGCAGATTTCAAGACTTAGACAGTCGAACCACTGTTGTGTCAAAGGTTGCTCTGCAAAAACAAAACTAAGAAAAAAAAATGTTCTCAGGCTGTGCGAAACTTTTTCTCTGTGATTCAAAGTCACAAGCCCACTCTTCTCCTGGAGGCATGAATCTTAAATACACATGTTCATGTGTGAATGTCATTTTTTTTCACCATTTATTATATTACGATATAATTGTGGCTGATTGTCACCCTAATGACTGGATAATATACTCTTCATCCTTGCAGCAAGGATTCCTGCTGAGAGATTTTCCCGCTTTTTTTTTCTTTTTCAAGAAGTGCTGCTCTTTGTTGAGCAAAAGAATTTTGACTTGAATGGTTTCCACTTTGTGCCTCTCAAGCTCATTTCTAAATCAGATTATTATTGCGCTAAGGAATTTATAGACGTGCCCAAATCTGAGGGGCCATTAGTTGGTTGTGGCTTCTTCAGTTTTCATTCGTTCTCGTGTTTTCTTCTTTTCGTGGGAACATTAGCGGGATCAGAGGTCATTGACGTCGGACCCGAGAGAGAGGCCTGCCTGTCTTATGATATCTGTTGTAGGTCATCCCTGAGGTGTTTTTTGGTGGGGATTTTCCACTTCAAACTCATGCACAAATGCCTTTATTGATGCTGGTGCACAAAAAAAAAAAAAAAAACTTTTTCAAGTTGTTGACGTACACGTCAAGCGTACACGTGTCCAAAAGATATTGATAGTATCAAGAATCAAGATTCAGGGGCAACTGAGTGATCCAGTCCTAGTGTCAACTTATGTTCAAATATTCGTTGTGTTACACATTCAGTCATTTCTGATGGCCGCTGATCATTTTAACACACGCACCCGCAAGTGCTTGTACTGTTTTTAGTTCTCTTAAAGGTTCCAATAAATGTATTTTTTGAAAAAGATGCTTTGTGAATGGATGATTCCTTTCCAGAATCTCTAAGACTGAAAGGCATGATGATGGTCATGCTGTAGATGGATTTTTGTCAACCTTAAAGAGCCAAGGCCCCCATTTTATATTCGCTCACAGCACAACACCAACCAAAAATCTCACAAAAAACGCAGGAATACTGAAGTGATCTCATCTGAATTTAATTACTGTGAAATCTGGACCTGTTTAAATTGAACACAAAGCTGATGTAGCCATAGGAAGCCTCGCCATACTCTCCAGAAAAGAGCAGCACAACTGTGATTCTGTTTCAAGACACGACTGTGTGTTTTTATAAAGTACAACATTACAGAAAGCAATTTCGGGTTTAAAAAAAAACAACAACATTCTAACAAGGTTTTATTTCTGGGGGATCCATTTTCTATTTTTGATTTTTCAATGAAGAAAGATGTGAGATGATGGTGATGAGGGGAGGATGCAATTTTTATTTTTTATTTTATTTTTTTTAGATTGATGACAGTTAAGGTATTCGGAAGAATAGAATTCCAATTAATGAAATCAAATACAGTATACAATAAATAAAATAACTTTTTTTTTTTTTTTTTTTTAATTGTGCCTGAACGCTCACCACAATGAAGATCCAGGCAGAATATTTGCCTTTACAACTCAACAACACAGAGATAAAACAACAGATTTTTTTGTGGATTAAAAAAAATGTTCGAATGAATGAATTATCTTTGCCTCATGTTGTAATGTTACTGTGTTAAATAAAAAAAATAAAAAAACAATCAGGAAGAAATTTTAAAATAGCAAACTGATATCCACCGAATCTGTTGGGCCCTCATTTTAAATTACGAATGTGTTCCCGGAGCACATGTAGCTCCTGTCTCAAGGCACTGCTGTACATAACATCCAATGTAGTATCCAAATGTATTGATATTTGATTTTAGAATCCACTTTAGAGCGTCTTGGAGGGATCGAAATTTCACTCTCAATCTCTACATCGCGAGTACACATTTGGTTCTGGTGTTTACGAGATTCATGGACCCAAAAAGTTTGAGAAATCCTGAAGCATGTCATTGATTACATGACTCTTGTTTGGACAATTATCACCCTGTCACCACTTCCGATTATCATCGCTCATAAATTCACACACCACCTTACTGCTGTGTTTAGTCGTCCAGTTCTCGTCAGCCATTGCTTTGCTCTAACCTGATGTGTCTCCCACCCACCCCATCCCTTGTCCTATTGCTCTTTTTTTCCCTCTCCGGAATAAATATGGCAGCAGCGGTCTGCAAGACCACCTGATGACCCGCAGCTTGTGATGTATGTGCAGTCATATCCAGCCGTAGCCTTCATCTCTGAGCAAACAAGAGATCACAGCGAGCTTTTCACAGCAAGCCACTCGGTGGCTGCGAGTGTGCAGGCGGCACACACTTGTCATCAAGTCAAAGGCGCGCCATAAACCTTGATTTGGAGTAAATCGCCTTTGAGCATGTGGCCTGTCACGAATGTTCATTTAGGACTCTTCAGACTGCCGTGTTGGCCTTGATGAAAATGAGCAATATAATGGCTTTTGTCTTGTTTTAAATCAAAGTTCGTGAAGCCTCCTACCCCCCTAACGCTTTCATCACTTCATACTTGATGATAGTGTGAGTCACTGTGCAATGGTTCCACAGCTGCCCCAGTGGACTGAGTTAGAGCCTGCTGCAGGATACCACTATTCATTCTTAGCACTTATTACTTTGCACAGTCAGAATTAATGGGGAAACATTTTATCAAAGCCCGAAATAGATCACATTTGGCAGCCCCCCCCCCCCCCAACCTGCTTATGCAGATACTTGCCATTCACACGTCGAATATCGACTGCAGTCAATCCTTTCGATTTCAAATAATTCAATTTTTTTGGTCATACAGCCATTCTACTTTGAGGGGAAACAAAACTATCCCGGGATCCCATCTCGTTTTTTGATTTTTTTTTTAATTTTTTTTTTTTATAAGAGCTGATGTTGTATTTCAAAATAATGGTGGCCTGCAGATAAAGCTGTCACAGACCCTGTGGCCATTCATATCGGTGCTTATAAATCTCAGCAACTCTCCCAAGAGAAGCGTAGCCCGTAACCTGCTGACCTGAGAGCACAAGCCACAACTCTTCCTGCATTTATGGTTCGGTGAGCTGGATTTTCATTCGAACAGCAGTCAGAAATGTCTACTCATCAGCCAGACCTTAACATTAGGTACACCGACGCAACTGCCCCATAAGTCAATGAAAATATTAGCATCTGTAGAAATCACAAGTCAGACCAACTCACACAGCCCAATAACAATAATAAAACATTTATTCAGCTTGGTCATTTAGCATTTTTCTGTTGCAATCAGATGCTAGCGATCTCAAACCACAAACAACCTGTAACTTGATTTCTTTCTCCCTTCTTCTCAGTACGAGCACGATTTAAGTTAATATATGTCTCACACTATTTTGTGCTCAGTGATTTTTTTTTTTTTGTTGTACGATCCATCCATATTTTCAGTAAAAGTTTTTTTTTAAGTGAACATTTTTACTTTTGTACATCAGTCCTTCAATCCTTGATTGTGAAGAATATGCCATTCATATTCAGTACAAGAAGAAACCGGGTATATATTATAAATGTAAAATGTCTACAAGTCATATCGGAAGGAAAGATGAACAGATATGTCCTGGATCTGGCCCAAGCGTAAAGTCGGCATATGCTCGGTCGGTGATTCAGAGTCATCATGTGCTGCGGAAAATGATATAATTTCTCTTCATTTGTCCCCCCAAAAAATTATCATTTACAAAAATATATTTGTTGGTCTATCTATACCAGTGACATATAATGACAGACAGACCAATTGAATGCTTTTTCCATTAAATGGCAGTGCATCCACCATCCGCAATTCACACAATATAAAATCATGGCTTCCAGCAAGCATATCAGCTTTGTGTTCAACTCAATTAAAGGTATACTTTTAGAGATATTTTTGTTTTGGTAGAGTGCAGTAAGGTTTTTTTGTTTTTTTTTTTTGTAAAACGTGCACCTTGGCTCAGTAGAGGTTAGGGAACACTGTGCGCGGGGGTTGTTTTAGCATTTAGCATCAAGTACTGCTTTGGTCAAGTTGGCAAAAGAGAGGGGGGGAAAAAAACCTACGGACATCACTAATTCTTTAATTTACTTGAAATCGATATGCCTCTGTGACGCTGAAAGAATGCTGAGTGTTCATCTGTTAAATGTTCTCCAAATAAGATAATCTATAGTTGGTTTATACGTTCTAAATCCCAATGCTAAAGGGCCTTTTGTCCCCCGAGGATAAACGTGATGGATGAGATTCACGGATGTAATAGAAGCCCCGAGGTGCTATAATTACCAGCAGCAGATGTACCCCAGCCCTGGCTTGTTTACTGTGCACACACACACAGATGCACTGCTGAAATAGCTTCAACTTCCCTCAAAGTCTGAGAGCTTAGAGAAATGCCTTCACACACAAGTCTGTATATGAGTGATGAGAAGAAGGAGATTGACGTAGATGGAGGGCATCAAAAGAATGGGACAGAAACAAGGCGCCTCTTAAACACTCTGAAGATTGGGCAAACCTTTCGATTGTGGAAATGTGAAAATCTCTTTCCACTCTAAACTTTGAAGGTTGCCTCAAAGTGGAATGAGGCTAAAGAAGGGCAGAGTGAGATCTTCCACTGATATTTTGGTTATCGGCAACATCACCAAATTGATTCCGAGTCTTGCAGGAAAGCAAGGACGGCGGGTGGCTTATCAAAATCTGATGGTGTACAATTCAACCGAAACTTTCAAGATAAAAATGTTGCCACGTAAGCTACACGCATGACGTCACGTGAGGCTAAACATAAGAGATATACTGCACACATGGTGTATTTGAAACAACCGCATGCCTTTGCTTAAAAGTCTGTGAGCTTAATGCTAACACATTATGGAAAACACCATAGACAAGCTAACGAATAGCATCTCCATGGCGGTGTGATAAACCTTTAAGCAATGAATCTTTCCACACTAACGGTGCAACAACACATGTAGACAGACAATATAACAATACAGCCATATCTGTGGAGAATGACTAATAATAATTACTGAGTCTCATACAGTTTTTCTTCCTTTGTCTGCATGACTGTATTATTGGCCTACTGATGCGCGGGTGCCAAATCTCGCACACCAGAAGGAGTTGCAATGAATTCATCATGAACAAATTATTTTAATTCTTTAACCCCTTATATGATTATACAAAGTACAATAATATGGCTTGCTAGTTTGCCGTTCTAAAATATATTGCAAATTTGTTTACTTTTTTTTGTGTGTGTGTGTGTGTGTGTGTGTGTGTGTGTGTGTGTGTGTGTTTGTGTGGAAGCTGGAACCGTTAATTGCAAGTTCATTCATTTTAAATGGGGATAGATGATTTGTGATATGAGTGTTTTGAGTTACAAGCGTGGGCATGGAATGAATTAAACTTGTAGCTCAAGGCAGCCCCTTTAAAATAAAGGGATGGGAACTTGGCGGTGTTCATATAATAAAAAGTTGTGTTCTCCATTGTCAGTTAACTTCTTTGTACACTTGTATGACAGTCAACAATTCTAAAAAAAACAAAAAAAAGTTAATTTACTTTCCCATAGACTTCGTATCCAGCATGAAAAGTTGAGTACACATATTTATTATGCTGCACTTTGCTTCTTTTTACACTTGTATAACCCTTTCGAAAGCTCGGTGGCAGTTTAACCCCGGGCGAAATGAAGTGAAGCAAAGTAAGAACAGATGAGCTTATTTACATGGACGACTGTGTTGCTAGACTTAATGTTTGGGTGAAGAGGGCAAATAAACTCATTAACAGCGCGGCAAAGTTATCAGCACCAATGAAGAGAACACATTGCAACATCCACTCAACAGTGGTACGAGAAGTGGGTATCATTTGCATAAAAGTCATATAAAATATCTTCAACATGGCAGAATCATTTAGCCAGATGTCGCCTTTAATAATTGGGCCTTCCTCGCACATGATCTATAGGCAACATTTTTTAAATTATTTATTTTTTTGCAGCCCTGGCACAAATGTTAAGCAGGATTTTCAAACCATTCTTCTTATGCATTTTATTGCGAGCATCAGTCTGCTTAATCCAGATAATTTTAAACAATTTGTCAGTTAAACAAACAAACAAACAAAACCAAACAAACAAAAACGTATTTCATTATCATGCACTAAACGTGCAACTGTGCAAGATTAAGATTAATTGACTCATTAGTCGAGCTTCTGTCCCAGCATCAATTAACGATCGGGGTGGGCACTTTTGATTCATTATTTTATTTTTAGTATGCGACCCAAGAAATCAAATAGAATACTGAAATAAATGAGATGAAGCATTTATGGTTAATTCATGGATAATTAAAGGTAGATTCGTTGTCAAAGGTTTTTACTCTTTCCGACTTATTCCTCATTGGATACATTGCCTGTTGATACATTGCCAGTTATTTGTCACTTTTTAATAATTACATTAAGACCCAACACCGCCGCATCCTCACTACAAGTTAGCAGCATTTTGTTTCAGTCCCCCTAGCCCCCTGTTATTTGCCCTGACATTAATTGGCATGTTCTTATCTAAAGTCTGAATTCCGCCCACTTGCCATCCGTCATTGTAACGTAAACTACAATTGCATTTCAGGAGAAAATTGGTCCCTTTGTGTTAGTTGAGAGAATTATGTAACAGGCAGGACCCGCTCGTCATTTTAATTGCCGCTGCACAGCGAAAGACCTTATTTGCCCAACCCCTCCTGCACAGCTATTGTCCTGAAATGAAGTGTGCACGTGTGCACGTGCGCGGTTGCGCGTGTGCTTGAAGTATGTGAAGGTGTCCGAACTGCTTGAAAAACGAAGCCGCAGTCACATATTCTGTAGAACCAATTTGATGTTGCTTCCTCAGCCAAATGATGGACTTAATTGGGTTTGTGTAGCCCAACACCTCGCCACTGCTGACCAATTATGCAACAGAAATGCAACTGATGTCATATTCCCCCGGGAAACGGGGGTAATGCTCAATTAGCTGCGATACAGACTCTTGAATATCCGCTAAATCAGGGGTCACCAACTCCGGTCCTTGAGGGCCCCTAACCTGCATGTTTTAGATGTTTCCCTCCTCCAGTGCACCTAATTCAAATGATCTAGATCAGAGGTGTCAAACTCATTTCACATGGTGGGCCACATACGGCCTGGGTAGATGTCAAGTGGGCCAGACCATTAAAATGATACCATGCTTTGCTATAAATAACCAAAACAACATGTCTTTCCTTTGTTTTGGTATAAAGAAGCACAAGAACATTAGGAAAATGTTGAAATTAAATGAACATATCTTTTACAAAACATTTCATGAAGCACCTTACATTTCCTTCGACAAATGTGCAATTT